ATATTCGACCCGGAATAATAAGAACGGGCCGCGGGTGTAGAAATGAAATGTTCATATTTTAAAATAAAACATTAAAAAAATATATAACAGCGCTTGTTGATATAACCCGGTATCCGTCTGTCATCGAGTCGGGCACCGATCACCGCGCCTCCGAGCGAATCGCACGCAAAACAATTCGACGTTAACACGGAGCAGTCACGCCAACTTGTTAACGTGTACCCAACGTGTTATTACTCGACATTTATTTAATTTTTTGAAAAAGTAAAACCCGTAAGTGAATCGGTTTGGAGCGTCTCGTTACCAGCTCGCGTAAAGTCGGCAATGTAAACATGCAATTTCGAAATTGTTCTTTTTTCAAAAAATAATAAATGCTTTTTAAAATTTTATAATTGTTCTAATAATGTTTCAAAAGACGATAAGAATTCGACATTCAAATAATTTTAAATAAAATAAAGTCCGATAGTGAATCAGTTTGGAGCGTCTCGTTACCAGCTCACTTAAAGTCGGCAATGTAAACATGCAATTTCGAAATTGTTCTTTTTTCAAAAAATAATAAATGCGTTTTAAAATTTTATAATTGTTCTAATAATGTTTAAAAAGGCGATAAGAAGTCGATATTCATATAATTTTAAATAAAATAAAATCCGATAGTGAAACGGTTTGGAGCGTCTCGTTACCAGCTCGCGTAAATTCAGCAATGTAAACATGCAATTTCGAAATTGTTCTTTATTTCGAAAAATAATAGTTTTTTTAAATTTTATAATTGTTCTAATAATCATTAAAAGGCGATAAGAATTCGACATTCAAAAATATTAAAAAAAATTGAAACCGGTAAGGGAATCGGTTTGGAGCACCTCGTTACCAACTCGCGTAAAGTCGACAATGTAAACATGTTATTTCGAAATTGTTATTTTTTCGAATAATTATAATTGCTTTTTAAAATTTGATAATTATTGTAATAATATTTGAAAATCGAACAATTTCCCCTATGTATACTGTCCAAACGCAAAAATTAAAGAAATAAGTTATTAATGTACGATATTTTAGCAAAGTTTTTTTTAGCGTCCAAGTCAAATGTCGAAACTCTACAAACAAATCAATAAACTATTATAAAACTTATATATTTCTATATATATAAGACGAAGTTCTTAGCATTCCATGGATTTATAGTCCACCTTGTGGCAGGTCGAAAAATTCAAGTAGCAATTTTCAGATGCACATCAAAACTCGTCTTACTCTCCCTACAAACCAAATCTGATACGAACTAGCTAATATTGTACTAGTACCTTTTGTAACTCTAGAAACGAAAAAAAGACGAATATTACTTTATTTCGACTTACATTAATTTTTTTATATTATTGTTTTTTTTCGTGTCGTTTGCATCCTACCCGAATCGAACAGATATTTAAAACCGTATCCCTAAGGTTGCCTTAAAAAAAATTGATTCAGCAATAAGTCCGCCTTATTGTAATTCTACATTTATTCTTTCATATATTATTTATGTATTTTTTACTATATGTTACAAATAAACTATATTCTATCATACTAATTTGAAGCCACCCCTAGTTAGTCAAAAGTAAAAGTGTAGTCTACCAAACCGTCCGTCTGTATGGTTACAACACGATCACGTAACTCAGAAACCGCTGCGTCGCACTATGAAGCCACCACTCGAGTATGTGAACATTATGTCATTAAACATTCAAACAGTAAAGTAAATATATCGATCAAAATTGCTAAATTGCTATTATGGAGCAAACACTTGGCATTCCGTCTGTATGTTTGATTTACATGTGAATAACGTCTAAAGAGCATGCATAATTCTATATATATATTGTTGTTCATAAGATGTTTTTTTAACCGACTTTAAAAATGAAGACATTTGAATTGTGTTTTTTGTACACTGTGTTACGCGATATATTTGTCAATAGATATATGGAGAAATTGAAGCTTGAAAATTTAAAAATACATTGGGTTCGTAGATTATAAAGATACTTAGTGCGTAATGGAGACTGTGTAAATAAATACTACGGTTTAAGAGTTAGCACTTAAGATAACAATATATAATATCTTAATCCCAATAATATTATAAACGCGAAAGTTTGTAAGGGTGTTTGTTGTCACTAGACCACTTTATAAGAAAAAAACCATTAAAATTGTAAATGGGCATTACTATAAATTGTGTATTCACAGTTTCATACAAAATTATTTTGTTCTAAGTGACGTAAACATAGTAATAATATATGGAGTATTTGAATTCGGAATCCTTAACTTTTTGCTATAAAAAAAATGTAATATAAAAATCTGACAATTCATCATCGGATGTAATCATGCAAGTAAACAACTCTTTAATTTAATGATACTTAAACAAAATCATTAATAATAGTTGTAAAATTTACTACGCACTTAGTTTGCAAAAAATATTTCATTTGAATTTGGAATCAATATTTTTTAAAATGAAGACGTAGAAAAAAAGTTTCTTATGAAATCATCTTAGAAGTAAACATAACTCCTTAATTTAAACAAAATCAGTTCATAGTTGGAAGTGATACTGTTTATTTAGCGACGCAAAAAAATACATTTAAATTTGGAATCTACATTTTTTTAAATGAATACGTAAAAAAAGATTCGTATGAAATCAGTTTAAAAGTAAACATAACTCCTCATAGTTGGCAGTGATACGGTTTATTTAGTGACACAAAAAAATACATTTGAATTTGGAATCTTTATTTTTTTAAGAGTCACCAAAAAAACGAAGTCGGAACCACATTTTCACACTTCTGAGACAACTGACCAACGTCCTTCACAGTACCAGGAAAATAGCTCCGTTTTGTTTGTGGTAAAGTTTCAAAATGTTATTCGTGTCATTACACAATCCACATGCCTGATTAAACATGAACGTACACTTGTGGCCACTCGATTTATTATTACGATCGTGACTACCATGTGTGTTTAATTTTTTTTGGGAGCCGAATCCGTTGCCCCATCGAGTTATCGATTGTCATAACACTTGATCGTCTTCTGATTTTTTACGTGTGATTTCGATGTCAAATCGATGATTGGTGTGTTTTGAACTCGATTATAAAACTCGTATTGAATTCGTGTTTTCGATTTAGAAAAATTATGACGCAATTAGGATGACATTTATTTATGTATATGTTGAACCTTAATTAATCAAATAGTTGTACCCCTGACTGCTTATTTCAATACGATAAAGAGCTATGTGATCTAGGACCGGATATATTTATGTACCAAATTTCGGGAGTTTTAGCGTGGTTGAATGATAAACATCTTGAATTTTGTATTTATAAAAATCGGGTAAAATCATGTTCTGCTGTATATATAATACAAAATCTATACGTACTATAAATAAAATGCGATTCTAAAGGAATAAAAATAAGTAAAGAAATAGTGAAGCATTAATATTAAATATTTATTTATTCAAGACCCTACTTTTTATAACTTGATAGCAGCAAATATATAATCAACTTAAAAAACAATAACAAACGCTTATTAAAATTAAAAGTATAACGAACGAATACAGGCTCTCCGCAGCCGTATAATTTAAGAGAAAATTCAACAAACAGAACGTCACTTTGGAATGTCAAAAGAAAATTACCGAGCAAACATAATAACACATAAAATTCATATGGAATCGGACTCGGTAGCGACAGCAAATTAATAAAAAATAATTATCTATTAAGAATAAACAAGTCAGCTGTAATTGAATTCAATTTATACACAACTTAAATTATATGTGAATTAAGAACGAATTTTGCAATTCTTATTTTAAATATTTTAAATTTATATTCGAATATGATCTTATAAATGATTATTATTTATGCATTTTATAAATTATTATTACTATTATTTTATGTTTGTATAATATCAATTTTACATTTTATATAAATTGTAATTTGTGAGCGTCCGTACTGTGGGATCTGTTGAAAATCAGAGCTGGAAACCATGTTTCCAGCTATATACTGTGTTGTGGTTCACATTGATTCTGTTTTGTAATGTGTGTAAATTGTTGTTTGTTTTTTTGATGTCATTATGGTTGTGTAAAGATGAGTCAATAGCTTTTTATTCCATGCGAAATATGAATTCATTCCAAATTCAAATATTTGAACCAAATTCAAGTACTATAAATAAAATGCGATTCTAAAAGAATAAAAATAAGTAAGGAATAAAAATAGTGAAGCATTAATATTAAATATTTATTTATTCAAGACCCTACTTTTTATAACTTGATAGCAGCAAATATATAATCAACTTAAAAAAACAATAACAAACGCTTATTAAAATTAAAAGTATAACGAACGAATACAGGCTCTCCGCAGCCGTATAATTTAAGAGAAAATTCAACAAACAGAACGTCACTTTGGAATGTCAAAAGAAAATTACCGAGCAAACATAATAACACATAAAATTCATATGGAATCGGACTCGGTAGCGACAGCAAATTAATAAAAAATAATTATCTATTAAGAATAAACAAGTCAGCTGTAATTGAATTCAATTTATACATAACTTAAATTATATGTGAATTAAGAACGAATTTTGCAATTCTTATTTTAAATATTTTAAATTTATATTCGAATATGATCTTATAAATGATTATTATTTATGCATTTTATAAATTATTATTACTATTATTTTATGTTTGTATAATATCAATTTTACATTTTATATAAATTGTAATTTGTGAGCGTCCGTACTGTGGGATCTGTTGAAAATCAGAGCTGGAAACCATGTTTCCAGCTATATACTGTGTTGTGGTTCACATTGATTCTGTTTTGTAATGTGTGTAAATTGTTGTTTGTTTTTTTGATGTCATTATGGTTGTGTAAAGATGAGTCAATAGCTTTTTATTCCATGCGAAATATGAATTCATTCCAAATTCAAATATTTGAACATTATTCTAAAATGTGTACCATATACTTGTTTGTCACTGTTTATCTAGTGTAAAAAAATTCATTCTTATAATAGTTTCTTTTTCACAGATGAACCAACAGTGTAAAGTTTGCGGGGAGCCAGCAGCGGGGTTTCATTTCGGTGCTTTTACATGTGAAGGCTGCAAAGTGAGTAACAATAAATATTTTAATTATTAATAGTAATTATAACTTAGTCGTGGTCCTACCAAAAGAAAAAAAACATTTAATTCTGCTCGGAGTAAAGATTTTTATAAAATATTTTTCAGCACTTGTAACGTGCCTTTGTACTTTTATATGATAAAATAAATTGTAAATTATTTAAATAAATATTAGCAATAATTAAACTTCGTCGTGGTGCTACCAAAATTAACATTTAATTAGATTTTATACCTGCTCGCAATAATTATTTTAATAAAATATTTCTCAGCACTTGTAACGTGTCTTTTGACGCGTAATATTTTTGTATGATAAAGTAAATTTTAATGAACCGACAATTATTACTAATCTGTCGTTCTCTGAAGTAGCATTTTATTTAATTATAAACATGGTCGGAATTTTAAACACCTCTGTGCCGTAATATGTATTAAAATAGTTATGATATAAGAAAATTAAAATAATATTAATAGTCCAAAAAGTATTTATAATTAATAATATCTGAAAGTACTCAACAACATTTATGTAATTAAAATAAACTTAGAAGTGAGCCTAGTAATATTATTTTAGAGATTATTATACAAATTTTAAATTAAAAATAATCGATTTTTATCGGTTTATATTTATACCACGATGGTGGCAAACAAGCATACGGCATTAAAAACGGAACATAAAAAAAATATTATACGCATATTCTCATCATCGGCTACAGTGAGAATAAACAATGAAAAAATATAATTTTAACATACTGACTGTATGTTAAAATTATATTTTTTCATTGTTTGGAATTTATCTTCTCATGTCACAGTTCTCAGGACGTGGCCAACTCATAATGTCGTATATGGGTATATCTCGGGATGGAAACATGTAAATTATTACAAGAAATATGCCAATGATTGTTATATATTACGATGCCATCACACGATTGCCGTCCAAAAACGTATGGCATTTGAAACGATGTAAATTCCATTTCTTATGGCCGTTACACGCGACAAAACATCGTGCGACATAAAATTGAATCGAGCGGTATTATCGCGCGGCAAAAAACGCGCAAATTGATTTGCGGGAGCTGGACGCCACAATTTGTGGTCGAGTTCGTATTACGTGTTTAAATTTTATTGCTATGGAAATTGTTATGAAGGTATCGACCCGTTTCGACTTTGATCATTTTGAATATTGTTTTTAAAAGGATGATAATAACTTTATTTGACTGAGAATAACTTGATCTACGAGTACCATAAGTTACAATATATAATACTCCGTTATTATTTATTCCATTATTCATTATTGTACAAATACACATAAGAAAAAATTACAGTAATTGGGTAAAAAGGCGAGCTTATCTCTAAAAGAGAGATTTCTTCCTGCAAACCTAGAAAATGTTGTCAAACAATATATACACAAGATCAGCCATACATATAATTACGTAGATATATACGAGAAAAAAAAAAGAAAAGGAAACATTATGATATTATCGTATATATAATAGTAAGTGACAATTATAAGAATAAATAGATATACATAAATTTAGATGTACATATTTATATCTGTCTTGTGGTAGTTATTAAGAACAAGGCTAGTAATTCAAATACAAATAAAGTTTATATGAAAAAAATTGTACGTATGCGTGCATGCATGCTTGTGCATGATATTTATCATATACATATGCATAAAAAAATACTACGTGAAAGTGAAATCGCAGAATCAGGAGAACAACGTTAGGCATTTTATTGTATACTAGCTACCCATCCCGGCTTCACACAGGTGTAGATGTATTAAATATATAAACCTTCCTCTTGAATCACTTTATCTATTGCTAAAAACTGCATTGAAATTGGTTGCGTAGTTTAAAAGATTTAAGCGAAGAGATATCGGAAGCAACTTCATTTTATTTATAAATCTCTATATATTTTATAAATCATATATCACTAATCTGGAGACTGTATTACAAAGATATCTATAAAAACATATAAACTTAACTTTATTCTTAGTAAGATGTTATTTTCTCTCGTCGTTGTAATTACTGCAATTTTCATCCAATATTAACTCAAGATTTTTATGTTTATTAACGTTTTATTGTACCCTCTTAATAGACGTCTGTAACATTAGACATTAATCACAATAATAAAGTAATAGTTATTAAAAACAACAACACAATTGAAAACAATCGATTCTGTGCGAATCGATGTTAATATCTATCGATTAATTGAAGTTCCATCCGATACATGAATTCGAATTAAAATATTTCATTTCATTTATCTGTAAATATAGTTAAACAGATTATATAAAAGGTTGTATTTTTCTAATTTTTACATTATTTACGGGGTTTATCTGCAGACTCTTTATATTATATTTGCGTAGAATGAAAAAACATGTTCAAAACGCCACAAAAAAAAATTATCAATCATGAGAATAATTATTATTATTATTAAATAATTTTAATGTCATTGTTTATTATCAAAATCAGTAGCTGGTCTCCATCAAATATCGATACAAAATACGGGATGAACATAATGCGTGTGTCGCGGCAAGTCATCAATTATAACAACCAGTAGTGCATATCATTTTATGGAATTTTCTCATTTGAGAATAATTACATACTATATTGAAATTGCTGCTTCATAACGACAACATTCTAAAATCAATATTTTTGTGGTAAATCTATATTTACTAGAAATAAAAATAAATTAATTACTTTTAAAGTAAATTTCAAATTTGAATGTAATTTATATTATTCGACTACAAATTGTGACTAAATAAATTGGAGTTATGATGTTTTTGCAATGAATTCGAAATTTGAATTGACTGTGTATTTTAAGATAAATTCTAAATTATAAAGTATTAAAACGAATTCTAAATTCGAATCGAATTTGTATTTCTAGCTATATTACAGTCATATATTTTTTAAATAAATTCTAAATTCAAATCGACATTGTTATTTGTATATTTATGCATGCCAATATCACCAATAATAATGAGAATATAGATAAAAATGTCAAACATTGGAAAATAATTCTCGATTAACTCTATATATACTGACCGCATATAAAGAGCGAGGTTAATGATTCCATATGTCACCATGAAATACCTACTAAACATATTTCTTTAATTTTTAATCATATTTCAAAAACAAATTGGACAATTTATCAGCGTTAACCAACTATAAAGCGGCGCGGCTTCATCAGAAAAAATTACGAATTCAAATGAAGTCACGGTAATTAGACACCCAATAAATAGTGTTAAGTCTGTTTTATAAATCAAAAAGTAATTAATTATTACAATGGTCCCATATAGATTACGGATAGAAAGTATACGTGAGACGATTTCTGGATGATTGCGTATCTGTACTAAAATTTATTAACAAAATGAAAATATATTATCATTAACAGTCTATTTGGATCTTACTTAGATAAAAATTAGTTTGGCGATATAAATTTATTTTATTAAATCAGTTTTCAAAATTAGTTCTTTCGCTAAAATCGGACATCTGATCGTTAGACTGTCAGTTGAAAATCAACATTGTATTGGATTCTGTAATAGCAATTATACCACATGTCTGTACATTTAAAGGGTTTAGTAGTAGGAATAGATTTTTTCGATCTAATATTACGTAACATTCTAATGCTTTTGGCCGCAGCTGGCCATTACTTCTTCACTGAACGATAGGGGGCAAGTGCAGATGGCACTCCAAACCCACGGAATTTCGATTCCTGTTTGAATTGGACGAGGGATCGATCGGACAAGAGTAAGAACAAGAGAGAGACATAAGTTAAGGACCTTATCGATCGGAGGTGATAAGAGTTAGTCATAAGTTAAGGACCTTATGTAGACACTTATATTGTCTAGTCAGATATGGTAACTACTAAAATTATAAAAAACGACAAAATTTTATAAAAAAGATATTTTATATTTTATTTTTAAATTTTACATCTTATAATATTAAGTAAGTATCATAAAATAAAATCAAAGTTATAGCTGCATCTGTCATAGTAACAAACCATTCCAATAACAGTTAGTTATTATTAACCAATAACTAATGGCATTCATATTGTATTAGACACAAAGCAGTTTAACATATATAATTATAATATAAGATATCGTCTCCTAAGTCACGCACACTTAACTATGAGCCTGGCGTAAAATTACGACTGTTAACGAGTAATTTACATTATATATCTATTATAAAAAGAAAAAAACATTTCTTGATACAATTTATTATAAGTTCTCAGATCTACTGATTAGTTATTTAGCATAATTAAGTATTTATTCGAATAATATTAAAACAAACAACTAACAAACGTTATACACAATGAGTAGGCGGCGGTGAAATCGGTATAATAATGTCGTCCTTATTCCAAAGCCTTTGGTGTCATATTACGCGACATTCTTATTCCAAATCTAATTAAGCACGTAATTTATATTAATTACTGTTCTATATTGGTATAGTTCCAAATTTGAAATGCGAGAATATCGAAATTATTTTTTATTAATTAAAAAATGAGTTTCATTGTAATTAATTGTTGTGTGATAATCCTTATATTACTGTTCTATATTTGTATAGTTCTAAATTTGAAATGCGTTCGAATATCGAAATTATTTTTTATTTATTATAAATAATAAATGAGTATGCTAAATTAATATAAAAATTAGTTTTATTTTAATTAGTTTTTGTGTGATAAGCCGCATATTAACTAATTATTATACCCACGTACGCTGACCAAAACGGAATTAAATTGGATCCGATGTGTTGTGAGTTGTTTTATCAGTATGTGGGTGTGTAATGTTCGTATTAGTCATTATTCGCAATTTCAATGCATAATTTATAGATATTGATAAAATATATGTCAAACAAAGTGTAAAAATTTAAAGTTATGTCTGTTGTGAGCAATTAAAAATATGTTAATTTGAAGATACATATTCATAAACGTTATTAAAAATACTTTGTTTTAACTAAATTACATGAATATTAATATAGTATTCACTTTTAAAATTAT